AGCAGAGCCTGGGTACAGCAACAAGTACAAGACAGAAGTTATTGATTCAATACTGCATTAAAGCTATAAGAAAGAACAGCAGTCCAGTGACTCTTGTGCAGTCAAAGCATTTATAAAGAACTCTTGAGAGCAGAGCCTGCTTTTTTTTTTTTTTTTTTTCCTCCCAAGCACAAGAAGTAAGCAATCATTTTTGCTAGGTAGACACTGAAAAATGGGCAAACTGTCAGTTGAACATGGTTGCTTCAGCAAACTTGGTGAAGAACAAGCTAACTTTAAGGATTTATATGAAAATTAATGATAATGATGTTTTGTTTGACAGTGAACTAAGTTTTGCCAAAAAGGAGAGGAAAAGAAAGAGCTCTGCATTTTACTTGAGCTAGAATGCCTCAGCTTAGTGAACGGCTCTCCTTTCCCCCTCCCTCCTCATCTGCTGAAAGCAGTAGTGATTACTGAAAAGCAATGATTCTTCCCTGACACATCTCAAATTTCCACACAATCTCAAATTTTTTTTGGAGACAGATTACGCTAGGTGATACAGAGACAGAATTTATCCACTACCACTTTCCAATTTGCCATAAAATTTTTACCTCCTGAGGCAACTTTTCTAGCTCTACATCTGTATTATTCAGAACTTACATACATTATCCTTTTAAAGGACATAATTTGGTATAACAGTTCCATGAAAGGAAATGTAAAACATTCCTGACAATCCAGTCATTTTGCTCTGACAGTTTTAACAACTTTCTGTAAAAACCATCAATACACAGCTGAACTTCATGGCACTCGCATTCAAGCTGTTAAGACTTAAATTACCAGCCATTATGTAAGCAGTTTTTAAACATACTTCAACAGAACTGAATGATAAACAGTCTTTAAAAACACCTGACACACAATTATGGAAGTGTTTCCAAGTTGTCTGTCTTTCAGTGTAATTCACTGGCATTATACTAAAGTGAACATAATTTCAGTGTAACCTAGATCTGAAACATAAAGTTCTGATATTTCACAGTACTGACAATCACCATCACTTTCTGCCATCACATACACTTAAGTCCAGTTAAATTAGTTCTCATCTACCCATAATGTATTTTACATCCTGATCTCCTCCCAGTCATTCTTGTATATAAACAGGAGAATAAGTAAGCAAAGTGTTTTGCTCTACATTTCTGAAAAACAAAGGAAAGCAGTAATAAATCTATTTTTCATCATTTGTTCCGAATTCTTTTCACTATAAATCAGAACAAAAATCACAGTCTGAATGAAGTCTATACAATGGCAGGTTGCTCGGGATAAGCACATAGCTTAAGCTGAAGCATTGGTCTACCACTTAATTCTATTTATGTTCTAAAAACATCAGTTAGTTCAAAACACCCACAACAAAATACTACAATTTTAGTTTAAAGAAACTGTATTCACTTATTCATGGCTACTTTTGCATCCTACAATACATCTCCTTATCCATAAAGAAAAAGAAACAGAGTTTCTTTCCTTTTCAGAGACTCTGAGAGAGTCTCAGAGTTTCTTTCATCTGTCTGCAAAGGAAACACACCTTTCTACAAGCAAGTATCAGGTAAAAGCTTTTAGGGGAGCAGTGCAAAGAAGGTCACGTTATCAGGTGGCTTTTGCAATGCGGTGCTCTGCTACGATTGCAGTAAAGAAAGGAACAAGAAGCAGCATCCAGGATGTTGAGGGGGTGGAGCAAAATAGGCAAAGAAATGCTGGCCAGGTATTCTATTGCTTCTCCACTGTCCTAGGACTACTTATATTGGTAGATCACATCAGAGAGAACAGTAAATAAAAAGGAAATAATAGCATTAACAAACCCACCACTATTTTGGCAATTAAATTGCCAAATGGCAAATATAGCAGAAACACAAGTATCCAGAGCTAAACCATTGATCCAATAAGGAACTAACAAAACCTAGAATGTGATCCATCAAATTAGAAAAAGTCAGTCCAGCCTGATTTTCCCTGAGCACCTACATACATCACTTCCTTCAAAAAGGCTTACTCATAAAATCCTCTTACTAATAGTCTGCTTTCTTAAAAAGCATACACAAATTTTCAGTGCACATGTGGTGAAATAGGCTGCCATAGCACAACATCATTTTTCAATAATAGAGGAAAACACTTGTATTTCTCCAGCATGCCACATAATCAACACTCAGCCACCACTGATATTATTATTAGCGTCATTAACACCACAAATATTCTCACCACACAGCTGTACCTAAGCCAGGTTTAAACTAGATAGCAGTCCCCCTATCTGACAACATGTCCATTTAATACCATCTGCCTGAAATCACATGAAGAGATAAGCAGGCACAGGTCAGTAGTATGAAGAGCTAGCCATACTCAAAGGACAGGGAAGAGCTAATGATACATACTTAATAATGCGTTTCAACATACTATAATAAGAATCACTGAAAGGTACGTGCCTCATTAGCTACTAGGTTGTACCAATTATTGCCAAATAATTTTGTAAATGCACGAGAGTCACCGAATTCCCTTAAGCCTAGGTTATTGACCAACTCCCGTTACAAAAGATTAATGTTTTGGGATGTACTTTACTGTTTTAAAGAGGGAAAATATATATTAAGTTTCGCAATATATTTGTGAAACAGCCTTTGGTATACATTTGGCATTTTCTTGAAAAGGTAAAGAATGGCTTGAAAGGGAAGCCAACTTTGTAGTTTCCCATGAAGCATTTTGTCACCTCTAAACAACTTTAAAACAATCTTAGCAAAAGATGACAGCTGCATGGGAGCTCTTACTTATCTTACAGTCAGAAGCAATCAAATCACAAATTCTTTCTCAAACTTACCAAATTCAACCTTTACAATTTTATTGTAAAGGTTTTCCTTCCAATAAATTACTTTCTGAAATCTTTAGTGATGGTGTAAATCTCTTTCACTTACAGACAACTTACATCTACTTGCTCTTATGTATTCACTGTTCTTTAGATTAATTGTTGTTCTTATTTTTAAAACATTGTATTTCTAAGTATTAACTACAGTTTCTCTACTTTTTGTCCCTCTGATCTCTCTGTAGTCCTCTTCCATACGATGAATTCTACAATTCTTTTATCATCCTTTGTGCCTGCCACATCTTGAATTTATCAGACAGGTAACACATAGTACACAACATCAGGTGAGATCTCATTAAAACTACCAATGTGGTTTAAAACTTCAGCACTAAGGGAAATACCTGGAATCTAGGACCATGCTTGATTTTTCCCAATTTCACTGTCCTTTCCAAGTGATGAACTCCAAACTTGTAGGAACATCTAAACATCTAAACATATTGAAAAAGTCTTTACCATCATTAGATTTATTAGATTAAAAAGGAGGTTGTCTCTGCATGTATGCTGGTCAGGTATGTCAAGCCAATGAAAAGAAATTAAGAAAAAAGATATTTTTCTGGTGTGGCCCTGTATAAATTAAACAAATTGCCTTGCTTATAAGAGACATTATTTCAGGTATGTAATCATGTTTTTAAATTAATTCATATCACATGGTCTGTTAGCTTTCAGAGACAGACATGGCTTAAGCAATTGTACTTTGAAAAAAAAGGTGTCTCTGTTCCTCACACAATCAGGACTAATTATTAGATATTCTCCCTCTGACTACCACGACTTTTCAGCTGTTAAAGGGATGTGGTTCATCTTCACCATGAGGACAAAAGGACATAGCCTTCTATGTCACTGTGGCATTTTCTCAGCATGGGGAATCTTGAAGTTCAACACAGCAAAACCTAAATCAAGGCAAGTGCAACCAAGGATATCTTTAATTGAATTTTGGACAATCTAAAGAAGTCAAGTATGTCTTCAGTACATATTTCTTCAGAGCACTTCAGTGTAGTGAAGTCTGTTTTCTGGAATCTAAATGACATTATCATCAAAGATACAATCTCTAATGCATGTGCACACTACCACAGCTCTAACTATGCAGCAAAGTTTTGTTCAACACTGAGGCGTGAAGGATTTCTCAATCACATAAGCAGGTCAGGTGGAGTTCAGCTGGATTGTTCTCCAAAATCTATGTGGTTACACTTTACTGAAGAGGCACTTTCAGCATTTAAGAACTCTGCTGTTTCTTGTCGCAAGTGCACTATTCTTCCAGTGCACCCCAGTGGATTCCTCAATGATGCACTGCTTCATCAATAACAAGATGGCACTTCTCACACTATCCTAACCTAATCCTTAGGTAAATAGACTGGAAAAGTCCTGTATTATTTCAGCACTTTGTTCAGAGAATCACACATTAAAAAGTACAATTATCAAGTTATATTTCATAGTAACCAAAACAAAAATCGTGCTCCAAGAATACAACTGCTTGTGAAAAATAAAACAAAAACAAAAACAAAAAACAACCAAAAAAAACCCCTACATTGCAGGGCCAACAGAATACATCACTATTTGATCCCAAGGAAACTTTACAGTTTCCCAAAATAGTAGCTGCACAGTCTCAAAAGATTCACTCCATGTTGCTCACTATATCTATGTACAAATTCTAAAGGATAAGTTATCCTTTGCCTAGGCAAACTACTTTATAAAAATCAGAAAGATGACTTTCCTGAATTTTTGCTGCAGCCAGAAGTGAAACACAACAAACTACATAAATCAGTGTAAAGTTACATTTCAATTACTTTAGATTTCCTGAAGCTGATGGAAGGACTTTGCAAGCAAAAAGTCACATTATTAGCAAAAGTCGTTTTTATGAAATTTAAAGTTAATATATTTTATTACCTCCTCTATTTTTCAGGCTATTAAGAATCCTCAATTTCTAATTAATTTCTTACATCATCCCAATATAAATCAACACCCTTGGGTTTTTTGCTGAGCTAACTTTGAAGGGTTTGTTCACCTAAGGGATAGGAGAGGCCTGGTTGTTAGGTTTTCTGTGCTTCCTCCCTCCCCTTCTGATCATTTTTTACATAATATGTTTCCCAGTTAACTAACAACATTATAATAATAAATGATAAAAAGCATGGATTCTAACCACTTTGTCCTCCTTTGGGAAAGCATCCAAGGAAGCAGAAAAAAAAAAAAGAAAGAAAGAAGAGAAAAAGAATAAAATAGGCAAGTATTAACAAGCAGATTTCAAATAAATGCAATTCTAGTAACTCTTTACAAAGAGCTAAGAATGTAAAACAAGCAAAAAAAAAAAAAGCTTTAAATAAAAATGTCACAACTACTGCATGTGTAGAAAATGTTTTCCCACCCTAACCCACAGAACCATGAACAAATGAAAAATAAGTTACAAACAAATGGAAACTTTCCATTTCCATTTCTGTGACTCAGAACAGTAGGTGAAAAACAAATAATGTATATTCAGTTTCTTTCTGAGTAAATACAAGCTGCATTATATGCACTTCCATTAATAGTACAGCCAAACACATCCAAGTGAACTGTATTTTCACAGACTTGCTCTAGTGATACCACCTGCAGGTGACACAACATAATGCATCCATTTACCTTAAAAAACGAACGTATGAAAACTTCTGCCCAAGACACCTACATCATTTTTTCAGAAAAAGAATTCCATGCATTGTACTCACAGGTATACGAGGGCTATGGAGAATTTCCAAAATAATGAGAAATGGGTATTTTTCTAAGGGTTTTTGTTTGTTTGTTTTATATCAAATTTCAGAAACCCTTTTCTGTTGAGTTTTAGAACAAAGAAGATGAAAAGGCCACAAACTAATTCTACTGTGAACGTGTTTATCTGAAATAGAACTGATGGCCACTTTTAACTGAATTTTCATTGATGGGAAGGAGTAAAATTTCACATACAAAATATCAGCATCTTAAGGCCGTATTTGAAAATCATCATCTCATAATAGTCAACAAAATCATGTTGTGCAGTAAAAAGAGTATTTGTGAAATGTTCTGAAACACACTGGATGATCAGCCAAAAGCAGTCTCTGGGCAGTGCACTTCCAAATACAGATCCTTCCAGTAACTGACCAGTTCTTCATAAGAACTGCCCTAACAGGGCATGTGGGCAAACACTTGCATTTCGTGGGGAGGCAAAGATTTATCTCACCTGTCTGAAAGTAGGGTATCTGATCCAGATCAATCTATAGTTTTACTTTTGAAATAAATTTTAAATAAATTTACAAAACTTTCTTTGTGGTAAGGAAGACTTCTTCCTAACCAAAAAGTGCGCTGTATTTATATAAGAGAAACCTATACGTATACAAAAAGCTCTATAAAGAAGAAATTTGAACTGAAGTGAGTTCAATAAAAAAATCTTAATGCAGAGATTGGCCTCAACAAAAGGTTTTTTTCTTTCATTCTCTCCAAAACAAGTTTCCTTCGAGCCACCATTCAGTAGAAGTATACACTATGTACTCTCATCTGTTCAGTTAACTCTGCGAAACCTGAGTATCTACAAAAACATTAGATACATTATTCTACTCCACATATACCTCATAGTGAAGTGATGAATAAAACACTTAAGCAAAATGAAGCATGAAAAGCCAAACTTAAGGTGAACAACCTGCAGCGTGAAAATGTTAAGGCTTTTTCTTAAGAATACACATCAGAAGACTTACATTGTTTGATCGCAGAGAGACACGACCTCCACATCGAGCACAAAACTTGGTCCGGCAATAAGAGCATAAATGGCCACAACCATCTGCAAACTTTGTTTTATGACAGATTCCACATGTTGGAGCATCATCCTTGTGCTCTCCCTGGTAACGGCGGGCTTCTTCCCCTATCTTTCTTACTTGCTCTTTATAGCTTTCAAATTGTTGATGCAACCTCCTGCATAGATGAGAAAAAAGTTTATATAGCAAGAATAGGAGGAAACACTACTACTGTGACTTTCTTTCTTTCAATTTATAACTAAACCTAATATTCTTGGCATGTTCACAGTAATACCATAGCTCACATCAAATACAGACCACATTTGGTAAAGGAAAAAATTAATACATATATATCAATGTTAGGCTTCCTTTAAGCTGGTGAGCATATCACTTGACCACAAGCTGATTAAAATATACAGAGATGGCACAAAATACACAGCTTTACCTAGAAGCATCTACTCTGTGCAAGATAAAAGCTAAACATAATTGTCTGAGCAAATCTACATTGACTTTTAACCATATATATATATATATATATATACACCAGCAAGTATGATCAAAGTCAAAATAAAGTAAGAGAGAGAGAAACTCAATTGTCATTTGCAGCATTACTTCTGTTTTCAAAATCTAAATTGCTAGCGTACATATCTTAAAGATTCCAACAATCGTATTACAATCACACAGGCACTAGAAGAATCTGAAAACAAATTCCAAAATCAAATCAGAATATTAAAAAAATGTAGTATTCCCTGGCTAGTGTTAATTACAGAGATCTCTGAGGCTTGCTGTCTCTTATTACAGAGATTCCTTTCAACTTAGCCACAGAAGTATCAACGAGCAGACACATTTTTAAGATGAAGCAGGATGTTCAAAGGAGTAGCACTTCTCCTTCAGCTATCCCACATCACAAGGAGAGTGAATCTCAGAAATGAACCATATAGAATTATATAGAATATAGGTTGGAAGGAGACCTTTAAGATCACCCACTTCCAACCCCCTGCTATAGGCAGGGACACCTCCCACTAGACCAGGTTGCTCAAAGCCCCATCCAGGGAGGGGGCATCCACAACCTCTCTAGGCAACCTGTTCCAGTGTCTCACCACTCTTACAGTAAAGCATTTCTTCCTTATATGTAGTCTAAATCTACCATCTTTCAGTTTAAAGCCATTTTCCCTAATCCTACACATCCTTATAAAAAGTTCCTCCCCAGCTTTCCTGTAGACCCCTTCAGGTACTGGAAAGCTGCTGTAAGTTCCCCTGCAGTCTTCTCTTCCCCAGACTGAAGAGTCCCAGCTCTCTCAGCTTGTCCTCATAGGGAGGTGTTCCAGCCCTCTGATCATTTTCATGGCCCTTCTGCAGACCCACTGACAGCTTGCCAAGCAGCTGGACAAACTGTTCTGCTACCCAAAAGACTCAACTTCTAAGTTCGTTAAGGCAAGCACGTTCATTTATTTTCAATACCTAGAGCAAAGACCTCAAGCAGACCAAGTGGGCAAGTTACAATAAGGCACGTACAAAGTTAAGGCTTTTCATCATGCTGTACGGCACCTACAGACTCTTCGCCCACCATCTCAGATTTTGCTTTATATCTACATTTCCAAGGATAACATTAAAGAAGCAAGAACAATTAATAGATTATTAATAGATACAGGGATTCTTGAGTTTAATAAATGGTTTGGGTAGGTGTGTTGTCTACTGAGATCTTGATAATAACTCAGCCACTTGCTCTGAGCTACTTACTCTCTTAGCACAGAGACTGACACCATTTAACCAATGCATTGCTAGCGAGAGATTCTCTTTTACTCCGGGATCTTTTTTTTTAAAATAGGGTATTGTTTTGACTTTTTAAGAAATAAATAATCAGTGTTATTTACAAAAAAAACATTGTTGGGTGAAGTACTTTGGATATATTTATTCTATGACGACACTCATACTTAGAAAATAATAACTATCAGAAATCACAGTAAAATATTCATCCAATTTGGATATGAATATCACTGCTTGCACCGATTTTCACACTTAAGAATAACTATCTTATCTGGATGCATTGTACTGATGCAGCAATAGTTAAAGGGAAAGCTAAGAATCCAACTATTTTATTCTCCCTCATACAAAGATGATGTCTTACACTTAGTGCTTTATGCTAATGAAAATCTTGGCGGAGGTAGCAAAGGGATTTTTTGTCTTATTTTTATTTCTTACTGGCCTCCTTAAAAAACCTTTTCAGTGATGAGTAAGATGAGGAAAGTAGGTCAATAGAATTAGGAAAATTAGGAGAAACTTAATACTTTTGGCCACGTTATTGGATTACACATATGATTTAACGTATTTTACACAGCTGACCACTTAGAATGCATAAAAACAAGCGAAAACATTCAGGAATAACTATCATAACCAAATTAAGGAATACATTTAAATAACGGGGAGGTCTGTAACTAAATTTCCCTCTATATAAAAATATATTATTGAAAAGTGGAACCATGAAAACTAAATTCTGTTCTACTCCACCATAGCAAGATTTAAAGCTCTGATTTTCAATGGGGAAAGGAAAGGCAAGGAAAGGAAAGGCAAGAAAGCAGTGCTCCCATTCCTGCTCTTTTCCAATTACACACTGTACATCTGATTTTTTGTTGATCTTGTACGAAGCTTAAAAAGCACATTAATATAATGTTTTACCCTTCTCTGTGCAGTAAGGGCTAGATGAAATTACTCGCAACTAATTTAGCTGAGAGATTTATTTCTAAATCAGTATTACTTACAAATTTCTTACTTTATGCATCATTGTACGATCAGCCTTTTCACATATAGGGTTTAAAAAACACCTGCTCATCTTCCACAAATACATTCTGTGTTAAACTGGAAAAATTCTAACGTATTCTGTATGACAGGAATGGAACTGAAGACAATGGCAGCAAATTTCAGGAACAAGCACACAAGGTTGTATGAATGCTATTTGCTGATGTTGGAGAAGAAGAGGCCATCAGAGATGTGCTTCACTCTCTAAGCTTTGAGGTCATTAATTCAGGCTATACTCAGAGACATAGTGCTATCAGGCTTCCAGGCCTCCAACTACGCTTACATTTAAACAGAGCTGTGTAAATAGCTGCTTCTCTGCTACTGGGCTTAGTGAATTACTGAGCTGTAGGGGAAGTTAAAGGAATTTTTTTCCATCAAAATCTGTTATTTTTCCAGTAGCAAATGCTAAAATACAGATGGATAATTTTCAAGATCGCTCCATAAGCACATTTTCATCAGATGCAGGAAAAATTTGTCTCTTAAACATTCCTTAATGTAGCCAAACACTTAAGTGTTAGGTTAGAGACTTAATAACAGCACATAAAGTAAATGCAACAAATATCTATTCAGTCCCCTCTGACAAGACAAACAGGCCATGATGTAAGAGGAATATATGCGTGTATTTATACTATTTTTCATCATGCACTCCAAAACCTAGATAATTCTACTACTGACATCAATACCGCAGCCAAAAAGGGGAGTTCTCCCCTCCCAACAGTTTCCAAAGAATGAGGAAGAACAGAAAAAATAATACTGGAAACCATCCCAGTAGTTAACGCTGATGATTGAGAACGTACATAAATTGGCATGAAGAAGTTTCACATAAATTTTCCTTAAAAAACAAAAACCTTTACAACACTAAAGTGCCCATCCAGTTGCATTCTGTAATATATACGATAATACAGCTAAATTCAGTATTCATTTTTATGGTATTTCACATTCATACAGGTGGTATGTATGAGTGTGATCAAAAAGATGGGTGTGTATTTTTTGGGCACACAATACAACTAAAAAATATCTTCTGTTGCTAAGAGCCTAGAGGAGATGCATGGTGAGGCACATCATAGCGTCTTTTCTGGACTTGTAAGCACCACCCTCAATACCTTACCACAGATAGACCAGCTGCTGACACCACCAATGATAATGACAATGATAATGACAAGAATAAACTGAAATTTTCATGCCTATAGTGGAAGACTTAAACGACTAACTTTTACCTTATGATCATAAAACTACATTTAGGTTTCCCGCTTTTCATTTCAAGAGAATTTCATCATGTCATATATGTACATTTTCATTTGAAAATGCAGTATTTCACACTGATACAACAAACACTTGAAAACATACCCGTAGGCAATTTTGCAAAGCCTTACTCATGTATTTATGGGCTACAAAAAAACCAGAAGCCTTAAAGGACACTTGTGTGAGTAACCATCTGACACACCATGAAATGTTTATATGATTGGTAGGACAGACAGCAGACATGCAGATATAACCCACAGTATTTACCGATCAGAAGGTGGCATGTCAAACCACACAGAAGTTATCATTTACGGTGGGGTTTTTTTTGAGCTGGCCCAAGATGTACACTTATACTGCTGTAATCACCTCCACTAAGCACATCTTAAAACTATGGCCCAAAAATGCCATTTTTGATAAGCAGAATGCTATGACTTCTTAACTATTTTACACTTGCATTCCTGTTGCATATATCTGAAATATTTGCACATAAACACTGAAGATTAACAAGAGAAAAAATGGTGCCCTTGTGTACATATGCTCTGTTTGCACAGATCTTCTAAAAATGCTAAGATTTGGGTCACCTTTATGCACAGCTACATTTTAAATTATGTTTTAATGTAGTATGATATCATGTTTCAGTTACTGAAAAATCCAGCAGAGGGCACTAAAGACCGCGTTTTCAATCCCTCTGTTCAATGACTCTTAAAATCTCTTGATTTAACATTATAAAAATATTACTCTTCTTTGTGTTTTTGTCAGAAGACAAAGTGCTGCCTTCTAGCTGACCTAACCTAAGGAACTGTAAGTGGCTGCAGCACAAATGAAAAAAGAGCATAACAAAAAGCAGTATTTTCCCGTGTTCACCATGCATACTTGTGTTCACCCCCACACACTCAGAAACACAATGAGAACACACAATTTTTTTACAGGACATCAATGAGACTTTTACAAAGTTCTGTTCTTAGCATTCTGTTTTAAAGCAAATTAAAAAGTGCTTCAAGAGTGCGAACTCAGACTCTACACATTAATTTCAGTTACAGAAATAAACGTACAAAAGACTAATCTTCAGTAACACACTAGTATGATAACTTACAAAAAATGTACAAAATAAAAGGAGGTTCTAGCACTGCTGGTTATTTA